GGTTCGATTCCCAGGTCCCCCCATATACTTAATGATTTTTGTTTTAACACGTTCACATGCAGCGCTTCTCCAATGTCTCACCATACAGCCCCACGCATAGCTTGCCAAGTGGCCTTGATCACCCATCCAAGGGCCACAGAATGAAATCCAGGGTATACCCTAGTCATCCAGGGTATACCCTAGTCAACCAGCGTACACACGATCAGAAAAGTCAGCTGGGCTCTGTGTTTTAATGGACCAAAATTACTTCAGTTTACCTCCACATGGGCCAGACACCCCCCTTGGTTTGCATCCTTTTTAATTTTATTTTCTTTTCTTTTCTAATTCTTTTTAATTGTTTTAATTAATTTTTCAACATAAAATAATTTTCCATAATAATAAACAGAAAAAAAATGTTTTATATTTAATTATTTATTAATTTCACCACTAACATATTTTTGTAAATAAATTCTAATAACTAATCTAGTTTAATTTAGGTTTTAAACTTTAATCTTTTTTCTTAATAAATAAAATATATAGAATTAGTTTTTTTGGTATTTTCATCTTTTTCTTAAATAAATTATTAATCATCATTATTTATCATTTATTATTAATTATCATTAATTTTGTAAATAAATATGTAAATTAATTAATTAGTAAATTAGGTCAACTTTGACATTTTCTTTAATAATTAAAAATAATCTAGATTTAGGGTTTCCTTTTAATTCTTTTTCTTATTTTCATTAAATACAAAAAAAAAACATAAAAAAATACTTTCTTTTCTTTAATTAAATAATTAATTAGGCTTTAATTTAATTTCTCAAAAGGGTCCAACACCCTCGAACGTTCATTTTAATTCTTTTCGCACGTTATTCTTTTTTTCTTATTGATCATTATGTAACTGTTCAAGGAATGTAATAGTAATTAGGTTTACCGCATTTTTTTTACTTTCCGCATTTTATCAAAAACGGGTCTTTGTAATTTGGCGATGTATAGACCCGCGCCTTGTAATAGCGTAGCTTTTATATTTCCGTCTTTTAAATTTTCCGCACTCCTAACTGCTAAACTCGCATGAAAGAATGTATGTTAATTAAAAATAACGCGTAGCTCACGATACCATGATCAAAGATAACTATAAACATGAAAACAACACACAATTACACACACCACTTCTAGGGTACGCCTCACTCGTTGCCTTACCTTCGAAACGTGGTCGTCAAGTATAGGACGTTTTAGCGGTCGCTCTTATGTCTAAGATCCAGTCGCCTCGAAACGGTTGCCTCGGATTAAAAAAGGATCTAAGACATAAGGGTAGCCTCTAAGGTGTCTTACTGTTGCTCTGGTGACCACACTGTCCCTACAAACGAATTGACCCGAACAACTCCAACGATGGTGCTACCTACCTCTCAATGGTGGGATAGCACTATCTAAAGGACTCTTACACAGCCTAATTCCTTAGAGTAGGTAGATTCTCATGGGTACTTGCTCTCTCAAAAACAAACAAAATACTTTTCACACCTACACTTTCAAAAAGTTTTCAAACAAACACTTCATACACTCTTGAGGACAGATACAAGAGTTACCTAGAAGTTTTTCAAACGAAACTTTTCCAAAACCCACACACACTTGAAAAGCAAACAATTTTTGAAAACATAGAGCAAGTACCTAAGAGCCCGTGGATAACCACGGATAGAAAGGATGCTAACACCTTCCCTTTCTATAAATTCATCTCCCGAACCGAGAAACGTTCTCATAAGGAATTTTGCTGTGCTTTTGTCCTGTCCATGTTGGAGAAAATAAAAGACGGTGGCGACTCTTGCTCCCGCGACTTTTCGCGAACCAGCGTTAAACAGTCAGTTCTAAATCCACCGATCATAATTAACATCTTTGTATACATTCTTACGAACAAGAATCATCACAAAGATTGCCTAAACAATGGCCTCTTTTAAAAAATACTTTCAAAAACCATATCAAGCACAATTTCAAACAAAAAGCAAGTGATCTAGCAAGTAACTAAGAGCCCATGGAAAATCATGGATGAAAAGGGTGCTAATACCTTCCCTTTTCATAATCTACCCCCCAAACTCAAGAAATAATCTCAAAGGTCTTTCCTGTGCTTTTTCACCTTTCCTTTTGGATAAAAGAAAATTCGGTGGCGACTCTTGCTAACCGCAACATTTGTGATCAAACGCAAAACACCCAAGTCAGTTCTCCCACCGTATCACAGTTACAAAAGCTATGCTTTTGTTCTTCTTTTCAGATCTTTCATTGATGCTTAGTTCAAATGTATGAAGGGATCCAACAAGTTCATCCATTTTCATCTTGTCAATGTCTTGTGCTTCTTCTATGGCAGTTAATTTCATATCAAATCTCTTGGGAAGAGACCTAAGCATCTTTCTCACCAATTTGTCTTCGGGTATTTTTTCTCCTAAAGCACTGGTTGCATTAGCAATCTCAAGAATGTTCATATAGAAGTCATTAATGCTTTCATCATCCTTAATTCTCATATTTTCAAATCTGGTGGTGAGCAGCTGAAGTCTTGACATCTTAACTTTGGATGTGCCTTCATGGGTAGATTGAAGAATCCCCCAGGCATCTTTAGCTGCTTCACATGTGTTCACTAATCTAAAAATGTTCTTGTCAATTCCATTGAATTAGCATTCAAGGCTTTAGAATTTCTAAGAGAAATTTTATCCCCTTCTTTAGACGAATCTTCTTCTGGCTTTAACTTAGAAGTAGGCTCTCCATTTTCTCCCAATTTGACAGGGTGTTTCCATCCTTTTAAGACAGCTTTCCAAGCCCTGCTGTCCAGAGACTTTAGAAAGGTCACCATACATGGTTTTCAATAGTCATAATTTCTTCCATCTAGAATGGGTGGTCTGTTCATAAATCCTCCTTCCTTATCCATAGTACCAGAAAGTATCTTCCCTAGATCTCACCTAGATATAGAGCAGGATACCTGCTCTGATATCAACTGAAATTCTGGTATCAAATATGTGATGTCGAAGGAGATGTCACGACACAAATATCTGAGAAAAATATAAAGTGCAACAATATAAAAGCAGAAAAAAACACAAGGGTTTATTAATCCAGTTTGACGTACAACAACACCTACTCTGGGGGCTACCAAGTCAGGGACAAGTCCACTAAATAGTATCAATTTATAGATCCTCGGTAAACAACCAGTTTACAATCTAATAACTTAATCACTACCCGTGCTATACTTCTAGCTAAGACACGCCTAGGTATGAGGCCCTCCTCAAATCCCTTCAATCACTAACAGTGAAAAACAACAGAAATATTAAGTTTTAAAAACCTCAATCATTCAATACTTAAAAGCTTATGAATGACCCACAATTAACAACTCAATTAACAAATTATAACTCAAGTATTAAAGCAATACTAGAGTGTATTACAATTAAAAGACTTAGACTTCTAAAAAGCACAAAGTGTGTTTTTCTTCAAAAGTTACAGTTATACAAATAAGGATGCAAGTCCTTATAAAGGCGCATCAGCGAACTTGGGATGAAAAACAAATATTCCAATGAATTGAATCCCTTGAATATCTTCATGAAAACAAACCAAGATATAATTCAAAAAGGATAAGACAGATCAAAAAATATAACTCCATATTTTTCGCAAATCAGAAACCACAAATCCTGAATAAGGCGCGCTTAAAAATAGGAAACAAAAAAATCTGAAAGCACGTTCAGATCAGTAGGCAGATGTCAAGACATCTGCTTTGAAATCATTCAAAAACAATTGAGATGTTTTACTTCAAATGTCAAGACATTAAGCAAAACATTACCAAATCATTGTTTTACCAAAATTGCTGCCAACAAACACTAACAAAATTAAAAGAAGAAGAAGATTCAAGGTGAAACTTCTTCATGATGGCTCAAGATACCATAATATAAAATGTGGAAAATTCTTCATTGAAGTGAAATTGAGATTACACCTTCTTATTTATATAATGATGAAGCACTATGATAACTAACATGAGAGTGGTTAGGGGTGGCAAACGGACATGCCCACCCCCATTATGTCCCGTTCCGCAAAAGCCCGAAAAAAATGGGGCGGGACGGGGAAGACATAGTTGAATATGATTGCCTAAAATTTAGGTCCGCCCAATAAAAAAATGAGTGTGAGACAAAGAAAGCTCGCGGACACTACACATTTTAAGCCTAAAAATATAAAATTTTATGTTAATGTTCGTCCCTGTAAAAACCCGCAAAAAAAAAAACAAAATGGAACTAGACGGTCATGTTAAAGAGTGAAAGTCTAAATTCTTAGTCTGCTCCAAACTAAAGTGCGAGTAAAACAAACATTTTTCCACGTGATAATATATAATAGTGTATCATATAAATAACTATTAACTACTATTTTCCATATTTAAAAAACTTTACAGTAGAGTAATCAAACTATGTATATAATAAGTGATATAAGCAAGTTAGTTAATACCTAACTAAATCGTGATTCTAGTTGATCATTGTTGTGTGATATATCAAGTTAGAATTCTTAAAAATTAATATGAATTTCAAATTGACCATCAAATTCATTTATTAAAATGGATTAAAAAACCATTGTGAATATGTGTTTGTTCTATTATTATAAATACAAAATAAATATTGAAAAACACATACTATCGAAAAGCATAAAAGTGTTACGTAACATTTTTTACCTCACGAGTACCTAACCCTTTTACTTTGGTGAGTTCTTCCATTCCCAAATCAATATTCAATGCAATTCATCATTTCTTAATTGATTAATTTTTTGTTTGTTGTTGAATCACTTTCATAGATCATGTATTACTTCTTGAATCTTGCATGAATGATATATTATGCATTCCATTCAATTTCATGAATGAGTTGTTTATCTGACTTTCTTCTGGATTTGCAAAACGTAAATTATCTTTGTATTATTTTATAATATAATATGATCTTTTAAAATTCTCTTTTATTGGACATGACTATGATTATTGCATGCATACATAAATACCTAATATGTTTTCTGATTCTTGTATGTACATAAAACCAGTGAAAGTTACCCACCTAAAAATGACGGACATAGAGTCTGATAGAATTAGTTGCTTGCCGGATCAACTTATAGACAAGATTCTCTCATATTTACCAATTAAGGATGCAGGGAGAACTAGTGTTTTATCCCGCAAATGGGGAAAGAAATGGTCCATACAACCAAATCTTGTGTTCGATAAACGAAGTGTATCTACTTTGGCTCTGGAAGACCTTTCAATTATACGTCGCAAGTTTTTGAGGATGATTGATCATGTACTTTTACTTCACTCTGGCCCAATCAACAAGTTCAAGCTCTCCAACTCCGGTTCTAATATCATGGGTGTGAACTCTCTGGCTGATATTCATCGCTGGATTCTTCATCTAACCGGAAGGTCTATTAAAGAGATTGTGCTTAAAATTTCGATGGTGCAGCGCTATAAGATACCTTCGTGCTTGTTCTCTTGTCAAAGTTTATGTCGTTTAAAATTATATTATTGTTGTCTTAAACCTCCAATGACTTTTGAAGGCTTTAGGAACTTGAGAGGTCTTGAGTTGGAATGGGTAACAGTGGCTCAAGATGCTTTTGAAAACTTGATATCCGGCTGCCCTTTGCTTGAAAAATTGAAATTGATAGAAGTTGATGGTTTAACCCAGATTAATATTCATGCACCAAATCTCAAGATTTTTCACTTCTTTGGTAATTTTGAGGATATTAGCTTTGAAAACAGTTCCCAGTTATCTAATATAATGGTTATTTTATATATTTATGTGCACTCTGAAAGCAATCAACGCATATTGCATGGATGCTCTAACAATTTGCTCAAGCTTTTCGATCATCAACCTCACATTGAGAGGCTAGTGATTGGTGATTATTTTTTAAAGGTATAATACTCACACTTTTAATGATAGACTCACCTAATGCGTGTGCGACCCTTACAAATTTTACATGAACTACAATAAAGTCTATGCAATTATTGATATGTAAGTATTAACAACATGATATTCTGATTTTGTGATCGTTTATTTGTTTTGTGTCAGTACTTGGCTGCAGGTGTTGTACCAGTAAAGCTGCCTACTCCTTATATGAATCTAACATATCTTGGCTTATTAATAAACTTCATTGATTCGAAGGAAATTTCGGTTGTCCTTTGCTTGCTCAAAAGTTCACCAAATATTCGAGAGTTCACAATGTTTGTGAGTACTCATTTAGTTTTTCTTGACTTTAATTTTATTTATGATTTATGGTTGCATATGTACTTTGGGTTTTGCATACCTTGTTTTATTTTCTGCTTGTTAAGTGTCTAGTCTATGAAGTTTGTTTCTAAGACTTGTACATACGAGTTACGATTTCTAATGGAAGTTGTGAAATAGATGCAATTTTTATAAAGTTGGTTACATAATTAGTGCATTAGAGTCCTATAAAAGACAAGTGGGCACCATTTTTCAGCTTTTATCAATCAATACAATAAGTTTATCTTCATATTTTTAATCCATGAATTTCTAACAATTGCATGTAGGCGATAGAGAAGCAGCCTGGCCTTTTAACACCCGCTTCATACTGTTGTGAAGATATCTTTTCAGAGCCAGACATCCCCCTCGGATTGCGATATGTTAACATAGAGGATATCTCCGGTAACAAATTTGAATTAGATTTTATCAAATATTTACTTCTATATTCTCCTGTGTTAGAAAATATGATTGTGAAGCCTACTCAAAATGTCAAACCGGAGTTGATGACAAAATTAATCCGTTTCAAGAGAGCGTCGAGCCAGGCCGAAGTTATTTATCGTGGAAAAGATTCTTGATAGTAATTTTAATTCTTGTCAAATTATCTATGTACTGTGACTTTTAATGTAGTTACGACTAAAGTTGAGTTTTTTAATGATGTGGCAAATAATGAGTGAGTGATAATGGCTACTAATTAGATATATTGAAAAGCTATTAGAATTATAATGTAGAGCATGAACTGAGGCCAAACAAATAAATGAATGAGACAGAAAGTATAGTTGATGTATGATTAATGCAGTCATTTTTTAGTTCTGTTGTGAAATGCTTTTGATTTTAAATCAATGGTTAGAGTCATTCTCTTAACAAACTACTTGTTAGAATGCATGATTCATATTGCATGCTAAATGAATATTCTCACTGAAATACACTGCTGCATGCTTTCTTACCGCAAGGATGGTTTAATAATGAAATTGTAGGAAGTAGAAAATAGATCATATATTAGATAAAATTGTAAATGACAGGAGTAATTGAAAGCTAGTCATCATCTCGAGCCAAGAAACTCGATGCCTTCCCGCCATAATAATTTCAACTAGGCAGCCTTTCAACCGAGATTCAATAGATTAGAGTGGCAAATAAGGACTATGTTAAACACACTATCCAATTTAGAACAATGTTTAGAACAATGTTTTGTTTATATACTAAGTTTACCAACATAATTATATTGAACCCCAATATTTTTTTCTACCCGTTCATAGTTCAAAAGAAGTTTTGGAACAAATTTACTAGGAACTCTATTTAGAATTGTAAAGGATTGTTTTTAAGATTTTGAATGGCAGCAGAAACATCAAGAAGCGTTTAGTAGGATCAAATAGTATCTCGTTCGCCCTCTAGTCATGTCACCTCCTTATAGAAGTAAGAGTATGAGATTGTACATTTATGTATTTGATATAACTATAGGGACAATGCTTGCTCAAGAGGATGAGAATAGCGTCGAAAGAGCCATTTATTATCTTAGTCAGATTATCAATGATGCAGAAAATAGATATAACATGGTTGAAAAGTTGTGTTTGTACTTTTCTTGTACCAAATTAAAGCAATATATACAGCCAGTTGATGTGTATGTTTCATTTCATTTTGATATAATAAATTATATGCTATCTAATTCAATCATGCATAGTCGAATTGGAAAATGGACACTTGCATTGTTTGAGTATTCTCTAACTTATGCACCTCTAAAGGCTATGGGTAAGTAGTTGTAGATTTTATAGTCGACCATGTTATGGTCGAAAACCCCCACAACTTTGTAGACCTTGAACCTTGGAAATTATATTTCGATGGTTTTAGTCAAAAAGAAGGAACTGGGATTGAAGTCTTTATAATTTCTCCTAATAACAATCTAACAAAATTCAAGTATAGGATAAATGGTCTTTGCTCAAACAATGAGACTAAATATGAAGCATTGATAGTTGGACTTGAAATCTTATTGGAATTGGAGGCAACTAAAGTCAAAATAAGTGTGGATTCCGAGTTGGTTGTCAATTAGATGACTATGGAATATAAATGTGGCAAAGAAAATTTGATTATGTATTTTATAATGGCAAATATTTGACTATGTAAACATTAGACACATCCCTCAACTTAAGAATCAAGAGGCTGATGACTTGGGTCAAATTGTTTTTGGATACAAGGTGGCGAAATAAAAGTTAGAAGATTTGATTGAAGTTCGAGGAAGAGTTATGGAAACCAGGTTATCTCCATCAGATTTGGAATGACGAAGTTGGGTTATGCAAATGATGGAAATTTTGAAGTAATGGCTATTGATAACTTAACAAACACAGATTAGAGAAATCCAATAGTTGGTTATTTGGAGAGTCCAACAACATATGCAGAACAAAAAATCAGGTATCGTGCTTTAAGTTGTACTCTTATGGGAAATGAATTGTTTAAAAAGATGCCTAAAGGAGTTTTGCTCAAATGTCTTAGTGAGATTGAGGAATATTTGCCCTTGTCGAATTTCCATAGTGGGGCATGTGGGGATTACCAGGTTGGCCATAAAATGAAATGATTATTATTTCGACAAGGAATGAATTGGCCTTCAATGTTGAAGGATTGTATTGAGTTTGCTAAAGGTGCTAGCAGTGCTAGATACATGCAGGTATTCAACATGTTCCTGCAAGTGAACTACATTCCATTGTAAAACTTTGGCCCTTTGGAGGTTGGGCTTTAGATCTGGTTGATGAAATTCGACCATCATCTTCTAAAGGTCAGAGATACATTTTAGTAGGTATTGACTATTTTGCTAAATTGATCTAAGCCATACATTTGGTAAACTCTTATCAAGAGGTATATAATTTATAAATTTGGAATCCCTGAGACCACTACGACTTATCAAGGATCAATGCTCACTGGTTGGAAAATGCAAGATTTTGCTAAAGAAATATGGATTAAACTTCTAACATCTACGTCTTACTATGCCTAAGCAAATGGTCAAGTCGAAGCAGCAAATAAGGTAGTCATTGGATTAATAAAAAACATGTGGGGAAAAAGCCAACAAATAGGCTACAAATGTTACTCCTTTTCGATTGACGTATGGGCATGATGTAAATTTACCAGTTTAAACCTACCTTCAAACAATTAGAGTTGAGATACAAAACGAAATCCCATATGAGTCTTATTCGAATATAATGTTGGATGAACTGATTGATTTAGACGGATAAAGATTAAATTCCTTAGAATTACTGAGAAGGCAGAAAAGGAGAGCAGAGAAAACGTACAATAAAAAGGTCAAAATTAAAACGTTTTTGATTGGTGATTTGGTTTGGGAAGTAATTATACCCATGGATCATAAAGATAGGACGTTGAGTAAGTGGTCACCAAATTGAGAAGGATCATTTCAGATTGTTAAGGTTTTTTTAACAATGCTTACGAAATCGAAGAGTTAGCAGAAGATAAAAGGCTCCTGAGGATAAATGGGAAATATTTAAAGAAATATAAATCTATACTTAAAGAAGTTAATATCTTAACAGAATAACACACATGCAAAGTAAAATCCAAAATGGTAAAATAAAATGCCAAAATGGCTAAGTTGTTTGTTACAAAATAATCTAGAAGTCGAAAACACGAGTTAAGCAAATATAACAAATAAAATACATAAGTCAAAATGGAAGAGTGGCCTTCATTTGATCATATTTATCCTTAGACAGTAACATGTGACATTCGATTACAAATATGTTGAGAGAGAGGGTATCAATCTCGACTCCCAAACTTTGAGCCCTTTCAACATGATGAACACCCACTTGGATCTCTTTGTCAAGTTAGTTACAGTTAAGTTTCATAATTTCCTCTTGATGTTCCTTTTCCTTATGAATATTGGCTTCCAATTCTTTGATATGTGCCTCCCAAGTAGAGATATTGGAAGTACAAGTATTGAATTCTTCTGGACTATGTCGAAAGGTTTTTTTCCAGTTCTTCGATCTTGGTGGTAGACTTAGTAGCCGCTTTCAATTCTGCTTCTTGGGTTTCCATTTTGTTTTCAATCTTGGTTGAAGCGTCTCATTTACGTAGAAGATCTGCAGTAACTTGGTCAATGAGAAACCCAAGTTCGACAATAACATCCATAATTTCTGGAAGAGTTGTTAAGATGTCGACTTTCTTCAGCAGATCCTTGATCCCGTAGCAGGCATGGATTTAGTTTCTAGAAATTGGATTGATTTAACCTCAACGTATTTTTCTTTGATTCTTAGGAGAAGCTGGTCAACAGGTTCAATAGTAGAATGAGCACCAGAAGCAGTCGAGAAGCTGGAACCCCTATCAGTTGAACTAGCCCTTGTGCTCATCATAAACTTTAACTACTCAGAGGGTTTTTTTCTTCAAACTCTCTATTCCTTTTGAGAAAGAGCAGTATAGGTATCATTTGAAGGGGCTTTGAAGTCTTTAGTTGTCCCAAAAGGTTGATTGGCATAAGTTGTGTTCTCGGGTTGAGCATTGTCATTTTTTGGCTCCTCTTTGCCTTGGGGATGTTCGGAGGCGTTATAAATATGTCCATCTTCGTCATATCGCTCATCTTCATCGTAATGGGTGATTCACTATTGCGCACGAATCAAAATGAGTAATTTTAAATTGTAGTCAGCGATAATGGCTCGAATCGTATCACACAGATTCTTGTATGATTTTTAACCAACCAAAGAGATTATGGAGGGCGTTTGTTTCGATTAAGAAAATAGATTAACATAAAGGGATTATCAAATAAGCTAAAGTGGCTAATCCTACTGATTCCAGTTCTTACTTATCACTGGCTATTGTAACTCCAATCCCCTAAGCGGATTTGATCCTATTCGATTATGAAATAAGTTAGACAAGTGCTATCAATATCATGTGAATTATGTTCCTGTTTACCGCACTAAGCATGACATTTTAAAGATTAGGCGATGCTAACGAAGAAGCTAAGTTAACAAGCGATTAAAATTAGGAATATGCAACATTCAAATTTAATCAATTTTATCCTATGTGCAGCAAACGAAAGCAATCGAATTAAGAAAACGAGTTCATAGAAAGAATTGAACAGAAATCGATATTAAATTGAAATAAAAATAACCTTAAAGCGATGGAACCCGTAACATGGGTTAAATAAAACATAACATAACACAACAAGAATCATCAATAAGCATACTACTCAATTAATAAGTCTCAACAAAATACTTTCTTTGAAATTAAAGCAATTATGAAAAAAGCCTCCAACATCAACAATGAATTCAATCACCGAGAATATAACGCCTAAATCTCATTTAGCAACACATAATAATATTAGAAACATCATTTTCCCTCCAGTCTTAAAGAATCAGAGTAATACAACTAAAAATGCGATAAACTAATGAAAATAACTTCAAGAACTATTTTCCACTCACAACAGCAACTATACTCCTGAGTATCTACAAGATGTCCATGGTGGACAACATTAAAGCAAAGGAGGTAAGAATTCACATCAATAAGATAAACAACATAAGTTGCACTGTAGAATTACAAACATCTACACATATAATGAGAAAGTTGTTCTAGAAGGGACATTATAGAAAATTCCATGAGTGAATATTTTTCCTTAGGAGTAAATTGTTAGGTTTGGAGCTAAACCTGTTAAAATCTCTTTTGGGGGATTAGTATAAGTCTCTAATAGGCTTGTGAGCTCCGCCACTTAAAAAAAGATCTCTTTCTGGGCTAGTGAAGATAATAAATGAAAAATATTCATTTCGATTCTTGAGTTCAATCTTGTACAAAGCTCAGTTGGTTCAAGATTAGTCCGATATAAAATTTCGATTCAGTTTATGGTTAGCCCAGTATAGAACCTCATTTCACTTTAGAGGATAGCCAATTCAAGACTCCAACTTGGTTCGAAATGATATCATTCAAAATCTATGTTTGGCTTATAGATTGGCCGCTCGAAGCTCTATTTAGTGTTTGATGTGAAGACTAACCACTTCAATTGTTGTTCGTTGTTTCGTTAGAAGTCAATCTGAAACTTCAGTTTCTTTGTGTGAGAGGGTTCGCGGGCTTAACCCTCTAAAGTCTCTCAAACAATGTTGGATATTCTCAAGATCAATTCTTGATGAGAGGAGTAGGTCATTTCATTAAGACTAAACCTATATAAATCTTTAGTGTTATTTGATCTTGTTGAATGCATAGTTGCACATATGCATTTATGGTAACAAGTACGCGAAGAGATAAGAATGTGTACACTCAACTCATCCCATAATGTTTTCATTTCTATGAGGTATTCAAGAAAAAATTTGGAACCTTGTTTTAGAGAGTTAAGTTGATATTTAAGTGTTGAAACTTGAACTCTATCAATCTTTAAAAATCTTCCTTTTAAGTTATCCTAAAATTTAATTACATTATCATGATATAAAATTGTTTGAGCAATAGATTCAGAAATAAAATTTATGATATGTTGAGATCATCGTCATCATCTAGTATAGGTTCTGAGTGATAAACCATGGAAATTTTTATCTTTGCACCAAGAGTTTTTCACATGGACCTGCTCCAACCAACATAATTGGTGTCATCAAGTTTAAGGGTGACTATGACTGGATTCAGGCAATCGCTTGAGTGAACATAATAGACAGAATCGACTTGCAGTTGAATTGGGATCATATTTTCATTGTGAGGTGTTGTTATATGATCAGAGAATGGATGAACAATCGAGGAAATAGAATTGAATAAATCAGTTAAAATAATCAAAGAAGATAAAAAACTAAAGAACAACAAATTAGTTAAAATAAAGAACGAATCAAAAAATAAAAAAAGTTGAATGATTTAAACAAGATAACAACAATATTTCAGTGATTGATTGATCTTGTTGAAGCAATTGTAACGTAATGCATGACTGAAAAAGAAGGATTGAAATTGATAGAAGAAGAAGATTCAAGGTGAAACTCGTTCATGATGGCTCAAGATACCATAATATAAAATGTGGTTAATTCTTCATTGAAGTGAAATAGAGATTACACCTTCTTATTTATATAATGATGAAGCACTATGATAACTAACCCGAGAGTGGTTAGGAGTGGCAAACGGGTATGCCCGCCCCATTTAGCCCCGTCTTGTAAAAACCCGCAAAAATGGGACGGGATGAGGCAAGCATAGTTGAATATGACGACCTAAAATCTAGGTCCGTCCAGCAAAAAAAAGAATGTGGGACAGAGAAAGTTCACGGACACTGCACATTTTAAACCTAAAAATGTAAAATTTTATGTTAATGTTCGTCCCTGCAAAAACCAGCAAAAAAACAGGGTGGAACTAGACGATTACGTTAGAGAATGAGGGTCTAAATTCTTAGTCTGTCCTAAACTAAAGTGCGAGTAAAAAGGATATTTTTCCACTACGTAGGAGTGATAATATATAATAGTGTATCATCTAAATAACTATTAACTACTATTTTCCATATTTAAAAAACTTTATAGTAGAGTAACCAAACTATGTATATAATAGGTTATATAAGCAAGTTAGTTAATACCTAACTAAATCGTGATTCTAGTTGATCATTGTTCTGTGATATGTCAAGTTAGAATTCTTAAAAATTAATATGAATTTCAAATTGACCATCAAATTCATTTATTAAAATGGATTAAAAAACCATCGTGAATATGTGTTTGTTCTATTATTATAAAAACAAAATAAATATTGAAAAACACATACTATCGAAAAGCATAAAAGTGTTACGTGACATTTTTTTTACCTCATGAGTCCCTAACCCTTTTACTTTGGTGAGTTCTTCCATTCCCAACTCAATATTCAATGCAATTCAACATTTCTTAATTGATTAATTTTTTGTTTGTCGTTAAATCACTTTCATAGATTATGTATTACTACTTGAATCTTGCATGAATGATATATTATTTATTCCATTCAATTTCATGAATGAGTTGTTTATCTGAGTTTCATCTGGATTTGCAAAACGTAAATTATCTTTGTATTATTTTATAATATAATGTGATCTTTTAAAATTATCTTTTATTGGATATGACTATGATTATTACATGCATACATAAATACCTAATATGTTTTCTGATTCTTATATGTACATAAAATCAGTGAAAGCTACCCGCCTAAAAATGATGGAGTCTGATAGAATTAGTTGCTTGCCGGATCAACTTATAGACAAGATTATCTCATATTTGCCAATTAAGGAGACAGGGGGAACTAGTGTTTTATCCCGCAAATGGGGGAAGAAATGGTCCACACAACCAGATCTTGTGTTCGATAAACGAAGTGTATCTACTTTGGCTCTGGAAGACCTTTCAATTATACGGCGCAAGTTTTTGAGGATGATTGATCATGTACTTTTACTTCACTCTGGCCCAATCAATAAGTTCAAGCTCTCCAACTCTGGTTCTAATATCATGGGTGTGAACTCTCTGGCTGATATTCATCGCTGGATTCTTCATCTAACCAGAAGGTCTATTAAAGAGATTATGCTTAAAATTTTGATGGTGCAGCGCTATAAGATACCTTCGTGCTTATTCTCTTGTCAAAGTTTATGTCGTTTAAAATTATATTATTGTTGTCTTAAACCTCTAATGACTTTTGAAAGCAATCAAGGCATATTGCATGGATGCTCTAACAATTTGCTCAAGCTTTTCGATCATCAACCTCACATTGAGAGGCTAGTGATTGGTGATTATTTTTTAAAGGTATAATGCTCACACTTTTAATGATAGACTCACCTAATGCGTGTGCGACCCTTACAAATTTTACATGAACTACAATAAAGTCTATGCAATTATTGATATGTAAGTATTAACAACATCATATTCTGATTTAGTGATGGTTTATTTGTTTTGTGTCAGTACTTGGCTGCAGGTGTTGTGCCAGTAAAGCTGCCTACTCCTTGTATGAATCTAACATATCTTGGCTTATTAATAAACTTCATTGATTCGAAGTAAATTTCGGTTGTTCTTTGCTTGCTCAAAAGTTCACCAAAGATTCGAGAGTTCACAATGTTTGTGAGTTTTTCTTGACTTTACTTTTATTTATGATTTATGGTTGCATATGTACTTTGGGATTTGCATACCTTGTTTTCTTTAAGCTTGTTAAGTGTGTAGTCTATGAAGTTTGTTTCTATGACTTGTACATAAGAGTTACAGTTTCTAATGGAAGTTGTGAAATAGATCCAATTTTTATAAAGTTGGTTACTTGATTAGTGCATTAGAGTCCTATAAGAGACAAGTGTGCATCATTTTTCAGCTTTTATCAATGAATACAATAAGTTTATCTTCATATTTATAATATGCTCTATATCTTCTATCCATACTATATCCCCCTTTGATCCATGAATTTCTAACAATTGCATGTATGTAGGCGATAGAGAAGCAGCCTGGCCTTTTAACACCTGCTTCATACTGTTGTGAAGATATCTTTTCAAAGCCAGACATCCCCATCGGATTGCGATATGTTAACATAGAGGATATCTCCGGTAACAAATTTGAATTAGATTTTATCAAATATTTACTTCTATATTCTCCTGTGTTAGAAAATATGATTGTGAAGCCTACTCAAAATGTTAAACCGGAGTTGATGACAGAATTAATCCATTTCAAGAGAGCGTCGAGCCAGGCCGAAGTTATTTACCGTGGAAAAGATTCTTGATAGTAATTTTGATTCTGTCAAATTATGTAGGTACTATGACTAAAGTTGAGTTTTTTAATGATGTGGCAAATAATGAGTGAGTGATAATGGCTATTAATTAGAGATATTGAAAAACTATTAAAATTATAATGTAGAGCATGAACTGAGGCCAAACAAATAAATGAATGAGACAGAAAGTATAGTTGATGTATGATTAATGCAGTCATTTTTTAGTTCTGTTGTGAAATGCTTTTGATTTTAAATCAATGGTTAGAGTCATTCTCTTAACAAACTACTTGTTAGAATGCATGATTCATATTGCATGCTAAATGAATATTCTCACTGAAATACACTGCTGCATGCTTTCTTACCGCAAGGATGGTTTAATAATCTCAACTAGGCAGCCTTTCAACCGAGATTCAATAGTTTAGAGTGGCAAATAAGGACTATGTTAAACACACTATCCAATTTAGAACAATGTTTAGAACAGTGTTTTGTTTATATACTAAGTTTACAAACATAATTATACTGAACCCCAATATTTGTTTCTACCCGTTCATAGTTCAAAAGGAGTTTTGGAACAAATTTACTAGGAATTCTATTTAGAATTGTAAAGGATTGTTTTTAAGGTTTTGAATGGCAGCAGAAACATCAAGAAGCGTTCAGTAAGATCAAATAGTATCTTGTTCGCCCTCTAGTCATATCACCTCCTTATAGAAGTAAGAGTATGAGATTGTACATTTATGTATTTGATGTAACTATAGTGACAATGTTTGCTCAATAGGATGAGAATGGCGTCGAAAGAGCCATTTATCATCTTAGTCAGGTTCTCAATGATGCAGAAACTAGATATAGCATGGTTGAAAAGTTATGTATGTGTCTGTACTTTTCTAGTACAAAATTAAAGCAATATAAAAAGCCAGTTGATGTGTATGTTTCATCTCATTTTGATATAATAAATCATATGCTATCTAATTCAATCCTACACAATCGAATTGGAAAATGGGCTCTTGCCTTGTTTGAGTATTCTCTAACTTATGTGCCTCTAAAGGCTATGGGTAAGTAGTTGTAGATTGTATAGTCGACCATGTTATGGTCGAAAACCCCCACAACTTTGTAGACCTTGAACCTTGGAAATTATATTTCAATGGTTCTAGTCATAAAGAAGGAACTGGGATTGAAGTCTTTATAATTTCTCCTAATAACAATCTAACAAAATTCAAGTATAGGATAAATGGTCTTTGCTCAAACAATGAGACTAAATATGAAGCATTGATAGCTGGACTTGAAATCTTATTGGAATTGGGGGCAACTAAAGTCAAAATAAGTGGGGATTCCGAGTTGGTTGTCAATTAGATGACTATGGAATATAAATGTGGCAAAGAAAAATTGATTATGTATTTTATAATGGAAAACAGATTTGGGAAAAAATTTGACTATGTAAACATTAGACACATCCCTCAACTTAAGAATCAAGAGGCTGATGACTTGGCTCAAATTGGTTTTGGATACAAGGTGTCAAAATAAAAGTTAGAAGATTTTATTGAAGTTCGAGGAAGAGTTATGGAAACCAGGTTATCTCCATCAGATTTGGAAATGACGAAGTTGTGTTATGCAAATGATGGAAATTTTGAAGTAATGGCTATTGATAACTTAACAAACACAGATTGGAGAAAACCAATAGTTGGTTATTTGGAGAGTCCAACAACATATGCAGAACAAAAAACCAGGTATCGTGCTTTAAGTTGTACTCTTATGGGAAATGAATTGTTTAAAAAGATGCCTAAAGGAGTTTTGCTCAAATGTCTTAGTGAGATTGAGGCATATTTGGCCTTGTCGAATTTCCATAGTGGGGCATGTGGGACTTACCAGGTTGGCCATAAAATGAAATGATTATTATTTCGACAAGGAATGAATTAGCCTTCAATGTTGAAGGATTGTATTGAGTTTGCTAAAGGGTGCTAGCAATTCTAGATACATGCAGGTATTCAACATGTTCCTGCAAATGAACTACATTCTATTGTAAAACTTTGGCCCTTTGGAGGTTGGGCTTTAGATCTGGTTGATGAAATTCGACCATCATCTTCTAAAGGTCAGAGATACATTTTAGTAGGTATTGACTATTTTGCTAAATTGATCGAAGCCATACCTTTGGTAAACTTATATCAAGAGGTATATAATTTATAAATTTGGAATCCCTGAGACCACTACGACTTATCAAGGATCAATGTTCACTGGTTGGAAAATGCAATATTTTGCTAAAGAAATATGGATTAAACTTCTAACATCTACGTCTTACTATGCCCAAGCAAATGGTCAAGTCGAAGCAGCAAATAAGGTAGTCATTGGATTAATAAAAAACATGTGGGGAAAAAGCCAACAAATTGGCATAAGACATTAGACTAAATTTTATGGGCTTGTCTAATTTCTTCTAAATAGGCTACAAATGTTACTCCTTTTCGATTGACGTATGGGCATGATGCGGTTTTACCAGTTGAAACCTACCTTCAATCAATTAGAGTTGAGAGACAAAACAAAATCCCATATGAGTCTTATTGGAATATAATGTTGGATGAACTGGTTGATTTAGACGGAGAAAGATTAAATTCCTTAGAATTACTGAGAATGCAGAAAAAGAGAGTAGAGAAAGCGTACAATAAAAAGGTCAAAATTAAAACGTTTTCGATTGGTGATTTGGTTTGGGAAGTAATTATACCCATGGATCGTAAAGATGGGACGTTGAGTAAGTGGTCACCAAATTGAGAAGGATCATTTCAGATTGTTAAGGTTTTTTTGAACAATGCTTACGAAATCGAAGAGTTAGCAGAAGATAAAAGGCTCATGAGGGTAAATGGGAAATATTTAAAGAAATATAAACCTATACTTAAGAAAGTTAATATCTTAACAGAATAACACACATGCAAATTAGAAGCCAAAATGATAAAATAAAATGCCAAAATGGCTAAGTTGTTTGTTACAAAATAATCCAGAAGTCGAAAACACGAGTTAAGCAAATATAACAAATAAAATACATAAGTCAAAATGGAAGGGTGGCCTTCATTTGATCATATTTCTCCTTGGACAGTAACATGTGACATTCGATTACAAATTTGTTGAGAGAGAGGGTATCAATCTCGACTCCCAAACTTCGATCCCTTTTGTTGTACCCCAAAATTTTCCCTCTCATTTTATCAACATTTCCCCTCACAAGACTCTTGGAATTCAAGATCAAGCTAGGGTTTGCTCTGCTCAAGACACCTCCTTGCACTGTTGACCTAAATTAGGGTTTGAGTTTGCATAGTGATGTTTTGACCAACAATACCCAAAATTACTTTCATACTTCATGTTGGACTCACAAGTTTGTCCATACTAAGTTTCAAGCCTTGATTCAAATTTTTGCCCAGTCAATTGGACAGTTGGCCTAGAAATCAACTGTATTGGGGAAAAAGTCAATTGTGGCCAATTGACAGTCAAACCTCATGAATTTTGACCCACATCAACATTATGAACTCATATGAACCATTTTATAAATTTTGGACCACAAATCCACAATAAATTTGATCAGATCACCAAAAGGGCAAAATGGTCATTTTTAGGATTTTGACTGCACAAAGGCAATTTTTGACGGTTTGACCTAGCCAATGGCAACTTAAGTTCAACCATGGGCTCAAGGACTAAATGACATCATCTTGACCTATTCAACAAGTTCAAAAGATCTCAAATGCATAGGATTGACAAATGAATTTTTCAGTCAACTGATCAAAATTTGACTGTACACTGAAAAGTCAAACTTTGACTTTTTGGTCAAAATCAAGTGCCAAGGGTCATTTTTCATCAAGACATGTCAAATTATGAAACTTGTTCATCAAGAAACCCAAAAATGCAAATTAGGGTTTAAAATGGAAAAATTTCATAACTTAGAATTTTTCTAAGTTATGAAATTTTCTTATTTTTTCCTAACTTTGTCCCATTTTTTCACCAAGATGCAAATGTATTCAAACAAAACTTGCAACATTAAAATTGTATTATATCACAAAAACTACAACTTTGATTCACAAAGTTTTGTCGAAAGAGGCTTGTATCTCAAGTTATGATTTTTGGAACAAGGGTACCTAAAACTTTTAACTTGGAGAAATTTTGCCCTAGTTTAGGCAGGATTTTGACCCATCTTCTTGGCCATTTTTCACATAGTTCCACTTGGAGTTTCAAGTTGAATTTCAAATATGGATTGTAGTACATGTTGCAAGCTTTCCAAATTGTCCAATAACTCCTCAAACACCTTTGTGGTTAGGGAGAATCGAATGCTTGAAGTTGGCAA